TATGTCCAAGAATGAAGAAGTTACGCCAATTCATAGATTTAGGTATAGTTTTCATACATTTATTGCTTTCTAAAGGTGCTAGGAAATGCAAAATAATAATTGATTTGCTAGAATAAAATATCCGAAGCAATTGTGCTTATAAAGCGAAAGGTTTTCATTGTCTTTTTTCGTTCTGGGGGAAGTGGGAGGTAGTTCCAGACCGCTACTGACTAAAACCACCTAGTTCCAACTCCTGCTCCGTGCCGGGGCCTCGGTACCTCTACCTCCCTGTATGACGATGTACCCTCGACCTTGAACTGACTTCTAATTATCATTTAATGTTACGATTTCATCTTCTGGACCTTGTACGGGTAAACGTATGCCCTAATGCTGTTCAAAAGCAAAACCTATACAGGCTGCCCCTGAAGTCGACGATCAAATGGCACCAGTTAATCGGTAAGGTCCCTACAGCTATCAGAAAAATATTTAAAAAATCCAAGTCAAATAGTTTTTAAATTACAATGACTTATTTGTTATCTACGAAAAAGTGCACCCTGTGTTAGTCTTTTAAATCTTGTTGCTACAATTCTTAATTTTTTCGTCTCTACTTTTGCTTACGTCATCCTGAATAGTGCTTCAATATTATTGAATCATAAATTCTGAGCCAACTGCTGTAATTTGTAAAAGAAGGTCGATTTTTGACAGACTGAGTGTTCTTAATAAATTATTCACCTTACTTTAGTGATTGTACTGCGGTGGTAGTGGCAAATTTCACCAAAGTTGACGCATTTAAAATTGTTTGCCACTTCCTACATTATTTCTTAAATTCAACACAAAAAGTTAACATAACATCACACCTTTTATCCCCGAAGGGGTAGGAAGAGGTGCACATTATGGCATCTAATGCCACTGTACAATGGAACACCCACTTTTCAAAATTTACGTTATGAGTCTCAAGTAATAGGGGGTGAGCCTATTGCCATGTACCGGGCACAATTCCAGACTCTATGCTACTAATGAGATATTGACTTGACCCAGGTATCGAACCCTTTGCCCGGTAGTCGCACTTGGGACCACTCGGCCAACAAGGCAGGCAGACAAAAATTATTTTTTCAACAAAACTTCGTTTCGAATAATTGTATTTGGACTTACTAAAATTTATTCTGGTGTAGGTACTCAAAGCGCACCTATAACCATCGTGTCCACTAGGTAACACTTTGCAGGCGACATGCTATCATCGTGTTATTAAACACGTTGGAAATCAACGAGGATTCAGAATAACGTAAGCAAAAGTACAGACGAAAAAATTAAAGAATTTTAGCTACAAGAGTCAAAGACTGGCACAGGTGTACTTTTACGTAGATAACAATAAATCATTGTAATTTAAAAACTATTCGACTTGGAATTTTTTAAATATTTTTCTGATAGCTGTAGTGACCTTACCGATCACCTGGTACCTACCCTTTGATCGTCGACCTCAGGGACCCTGTATACCATATAATAGACATGGTGTCTGACCAATGCTCTATTGTCTGTTATAATCAAGAATAACGTAACTAGTCTTCTACGAACTGTTGAATCAATTATAATGTACCTACTCATATAATGGAATGTCTTCTCCCGCCTGGGTGAGGTGGGAAGGAGTGTCATGTTTCCTACTCCTGCACTTCGAGCCGGAGCCCCGGTAACCCGTTAAATTCTCCACGGCTGCTCATGTAGTATACGTTTTTGACGCATTATGGCTGGATTGCATACGGCCTCGTATATGGCGAAAAGATCTTGTCCAGTCGTCTCTCAAACTTCTTCCACAGCGATATCTCCGGCAAGTTCTATGGTGAGTACGTACATACATCCAGCATGCTTTAATTGAATTGATCTTCGGCAATCGTATGTACCTACGTCGTGCTTATCTCATTTAATAATTATTATTAAATGAGAATTAAATTTCCATTGATGCACCAATCGTACTACTGGTCTACGTCATTCGCATCAATAGTCATTCAAGATTATGTCCTACCAACTTTTTAATACATCTCTTACATCTTATGAATCCCGTGTAAGGAAATTGTTTATGTTATTAATATTTTAATTTTGACTGCCTCGTTGGCCGACCGGTCGCAAGTGCGACTGCCGGGCAGGGGGTCTTGGGTTCGATTCACGGGTCAGGCAAAGTATTACTGGGTTTAAAAAAAAATCTCAGTAGTAGCACGGAGGCTGGAATTGAACTCGGTATATGGCAATAGGCTCACCCCCTATTACATGGGATTCATAACATAAATAGTGAAAAGTCTGCCCTCTGCCTACCCTTTCGGGGATAAAAGGCGTGATGTTATGTTATTTTAATTTTATTGATGACGGTCCTAGGATCTTCGGTGGAGGTTATCCTCCATTGTGAATGATAGTAATGAGTGGTGAAGGGGTCATAGCCCGCCCTGATATAGTAAGTACCTACGATAAGCTTTTTTACCCTTGGTTTTACTTTATGATATTTTTTTTATAAACTGCCATTTTTGTATGATTAATGTCCTTTCGAGATATTTTTTTCTATCCACTTTTTAATAAACTTACTATTACCTATTTTATGAAGTCCTGGTACATCGGAACAAATGTAATGAATAGGGCACCATCGTTTTTAATCAACCATCAATTTTAGAATAGGTTTTTTATGTGGTCCCATTTTTGCCAAGAGTGCCAAAGACGTTTTTATTTTTGATTCTAATATGAGAAAGGTAAATAAAATCACAACTTCAACGATTTGTATTCATGTTTATTTAGGTATGGTTTTTGTTTTCATCATCGATTATTTCCACTTATATAAGTACTTAAGTTTTTTAAACAGTTACAATCTAAGTAACATCTAAAAGACTACTAAATTACACATTTACAAGTAACATTAACTGGGCTTCAATGTACAATAAATAAATTTTAATTTTCATTAACTTTTTGAACAACAATACATTTTATAAAAAAAATATATACTTAAAGGAATATCTATATAATGGAAAAACGTCAAAAGAAATAAATAAATATTAGGCCATTTAGTATTGCGATACATAAATATATAATCAGCTGTTTACATTTAACTTAGAATAAGTAACTAAATTAACGGAGGGAATGTAAGAGTTAGGGGAACACCCAGTTTTAATTTATTAATTACGATGTTTAATTACATTGAAAATAGTTTCTACATATTATTTTGAACAGCTACAGTATAGTTTAAATCTAACATCTATAATATTTACAAAGGAGTACAAGATTTGGGAATAATCCGCGAAATAATTTAGTTAATTCTAAATAAATTTAAAGCCAATTCTGTAATTGCGGCGATAATAAATTAGGGCATTTTACAATTGGGTACTAAACAGTGTATGCGGGTCTTAGAATACATGGATATTGGTCTTTTGGTACGCAAATGTAAAAAAAAAACAATTACTACCGCCGCACTAAAGATCTCGACTTGTATATGAATGGAATAACCAACTTGTTCACAATCATACATCTCATACAAACAATCAGACTTAATAAGCTGGTTGCATACTGTCGACTGAACTGTCAAACGTAATCTGAATTACTGAAGAACTGAAAAAATAAATTCTTTATAAAAATACACCTATAAAGCCTTCATGAAAACAGTTTTATCAAAAGCACGCAACCTTTTTTTAAAGAAAATTAAATATTTCAGTTTTTTTTTGTTGTTTTCTGTATTTTTAATGAACCAAAATCTTAAGTGAAAAGAAAATAGAAAACTTAAAACAAAACGGTCTTGATCTGTACTCATAGGTAGGCACGTAGGATTTTCACAATTTCGTGACATGCTTGCGATTATACGCACATGCAATTACGAGTCACTGATAAAATTATTCATCTCGATCGGTATGGCACAGGAAACTTAACTTACTGAAAACACAATTACTCTGAATGTCACACATAGCAATTAATTAAAATGCAATTAAATTTCATGTCGGATCTTCACAAATATTCAAGATCAATGTCTAAAAATATTAAATTCATAGTTTACAAATATTGAATTAATGATTTTATGTGTAAACATTTATTGATTTTATGTTTACCGAGGGACATAAATGTCAAAAACTTCATAATAAATGAAATTAACGTGTGAATCCAACTTGAGTATTGAGGCTTGGGTCAGGGAGACGTCAATTTGACGTTTTATACTTCAAAAATGTATCAAACATTTTTCCTTATTTGAACACAGATTCTACGAGTTTTTATAACATTTTACAATATAATTCTGTTTTATACAACAACATTCATAGTACCTACATATTTCTCAATATATTTTTGAACACACACATATTTTTTATTCACATCGAAATTGTAGACATAGTAAAACATTCTATCATTTGGAGAAAAATATAAATATCAATCTATTAGGTACATATCATTATTACGTGACAAAATATTATTTAGTAAATTTCTGGAATATAACATTATTTTTATTCAATATACTATGTAAGGTATCTCTGATAATGTAGGATAAACATTTGAATATTTTAATGACTTTTATAATTATGATTTTGTGCGATAAACAAAAAATAGTGGTAGTAACGTCTGTCAAAGGTCATAGAGTATTGTCAAAGTCCATTTTGTGTAAACAAAATGTATGGTCCACGTACGAAACACAACATAGACACTACACAACCTTGGAAGCTCGATTCAAACCGTTCGATACAACTCTTTTATATTTACTATAAATACCAATATTGACTGATTCCTGATGAAACATTATTCTATGATTTAAATATTAATTTAAAATGTCATTGAGTATTTACACGATGGAAACTAATCTTAATATATCGAAGGATATAAGGTGGTCGAGTAGATATAGAATAAAGAAATGATATATTAAATTAACTAAAATCGGACGCACGCTGCTCATGAGGAAGAACCTCTCTGTGGTTCGAAACTAGTAGAGCTTTTCTCAATATATTCACGTGAGTAACTCGTGATTTTAGTTAATTTAGTATGTCTCACGATAGTTATTATAAAAACAAATGATATATTATTAAATATATAGGTAATTATGTAGGTATCGGATTTATCTAATAATTTAATCTAAGAATGACCGACAATTCTGATTTCTTATTAAAAAATAACAATATGAAAAATTAAATACAGAGTTTTATATAAGCTAGGTAAAAGATGCAAAATAAAATTGACTGATGCGTACTATTGGAAGGTTCGTGATGGTACTTCTATTAACTACAGAACGATTAGATTGCAGTATTCGTGAGGTAATGAATAAATTAACATAGTTTGGGTGTATGGGAATGAAAGCTTGAAGGCTCGAAGGCGTTTGACGACCATCCAATACTATCTATGTTGCGTCGCAGTAGAAACACGTAGAGATGTATCCCACTGGCACCAGCGAGTCGGTGGTAATCGACCGATGTATGGTGAACGCGCTAACATTCATCTGACGTTACACTGTGTTGCTAACAAGAGGCGGGAAATGTCTTGAGTGCACTAGTATACGAATTCACTTCGAACCGATTTGTTTTTAAAGTTCAGTAGAATCGATTGTGTGATAGAGTTTTAGGGTTGAATACACCAATTTTATTTCTGAATGGTAGATGCACTCGGGGCCAGCCGTTGTTTTTATTAGCAGGTCACAGTACGGCGGAGTGCCGCTGGAGAGAGTGGCGAGTGCACTAACAGTCGGCCGTGTAGACGGGCGCCAGGTCCAGCGTGAGGTGGCGCAGCGCGCGGTCGCGGGACGCGGAGCGGGACGCGCGCGACGACTTGATGATCTGCAGCACCATCGCCTTGCAGTCGTGGCACACCGCCATCTGCACGCCTCGGAGACGTTCCGCCGCCGTCACGCCCGTCGTACTGCGACCGTACCTCGCTCTGGAAGTAAAACATGGATTTGCGAATAAGAGAGTGACCCAGAATCTGATTGAAAGACTAGTACCTAAGTGAGAATCGGTAAAGGGAGAACAAGGTTGAATTGCTGGAAGTAGTATGAGTATGAATGAGGGTAAGTGATTGGGAGTATAATTGTGAGTATGAGGTTAAGATTGGGAGTATAAGCGTGAGATAAATAGTTTGATGGTGGAAATAGAGTGTGATAGTGGAATAGGGAGTGTGAAACAAGGACTAGGAGTGTGAAAGAAGGACTGGAAGTATGGAGGTGCGCTTGGGAGAGCGAGGATGAGATTCCTCGCTTTCATCGAGTTGGATACGACGTCATACCTGCGGTCCAGCGTAGAAGGCGGAGTGTTGACGAGCGACATGGCCTGCGGGCCGTCGACGCTGCGCGACATGGCGTGCGGCGGCACGGACAGTTGGTCGGAGAAGCCGAGCGCGGAGCCGCCGCGCGAGCCGGGCGCGCTGTGGGCCGCCGCGCCCGCGCCGCCGCACGCCGCCGTCGGCGCCCGACGAGGCGCCGCCGGACTACTCGGCGCACTGCCTACACTGTTCTCTACCATGCTCTGTAACAACAAACAGGTACTTTAAAATAATATAACATAATGTCACGCCTTTTTATCCGCGAAGGTCCCCGAGGTGCACATTGCAGCACTTAATGCCACTGTGCAATGTAACACCCACTTTTCACTATTTATGTTATCAGTCCCATGTAATAGAGGGTGAGCTGAGCCTATTGCCATATACCGGGCACAATTTCAGACTCTGTGCTACCACTGAGATTTCTTTTTTTAAACCAATTAAGATTTTGCCCGACGCGGGAATCGAACCCAAGACCCCTTGCCCGCAGTCGCACTTTAATCGTAAGTAAGTATATCTTCTAAATACCCTTTTTTACAATTGAATGTATTATTAAGAAACCTTAAAATAGCGTTACGAACGAATATTGGCGTTTATACACCAGTATTAGGTACCAAAGAATATTTTGGATGATTAGAAACTCAACAATATTAACGAACATAACTCCAAAAAAATGACAATTGAGCTTTTGAAACTTGTTCAGCAACTAGATAGCAAAACAGGTAATACACCCATAACATGATACAACAGACAACTAGACATTATTTAGGTACAATGGTACCATTACCATTATATAATCGAACAACAGACCATCATAAACCTAAGTATATCATAACGGAAGACACAAGCAATGCATCATGTTGTAATAAAACTAGATGATTGACAATGATCGCCTATTGACGGCTCTGCGGCTACAATTTGCGGTACATACACCACGCATTACCACTCATCGCAGATCGAGTTACGGGAAACGTAATTTACGCGGCCATTGTGTCGGACGATTATGTGTAACTACCTCATCTTCAAATTGGAGCTTGATGGAATAGAAAAATAGGGAACGTGGTAGATGTTTTCCTAATAATGTTTCATAACTTTAGTCCCAGAGGGATTAGGAAAAGGTAACCTATTAACTCGTCGAGTACCGGTTTTGTAGACACAATTATAGAACAATAGGTTGCGGTCACCGGTGACCGCTTGGTATTTGACAGTTTAAAATGTAACACTTATTTTGAGACTTTTACAAAATCGACGGCTAAGGGTTGCTTAAAAAGTACGATTAAGGTAGACAAATAGCAAAAGTATTGCATCGTGAAGGAACTAGACATTAATTATTATGTTTTCGGATTGCTCATGTACCTAACTGTTTGACGAGGAACTCGACTAGTTTCAAACCATGCTAGAGGCTATCTTCTCATATTTATTTAATCTGTCTCACGAAAGTTCGATTATAAACGTAACATTTACATAGACATAGATAGGTAGATCATTAGATTTTCTGATGACCTCAAATCAACCATCATAAACTCAGTTAAGCATCTCCAAATAATTGTGTTATAAAAAATAACAAGCTTACCGAGTACTCAGGAGAAACGAGCCTGGACATGAGACTCCTGGGGAACGAGGAGTGCGCCTCGTCCTCCGGGGAGGGAAGTAATGAGGGGCTCAGCAGCACCACTGGTACGTGAGCGAAGTGCTCCGTCGGGATACGCATCTAAAATAAATAATTCATAATATATTAGTGATAGGCGTATAAAGAACAGGCAGAACAGAATTTCAGTTAAATTAAAATAGAATATGAAGCTGTGTGTTTTGTTGGACAAATTAAGTGATTATATCAACTTGTACAAATCTTTTTCGTATACTTAGTAAAAAAACTACTTAAGAAATCAAGATGAAAAAGTCGAAACTTCGAAATTTCGATAGGACAGGAGCACTGCTGGGAATAGGAGCTAATGTAGATAGACGGTATCTAAGTAAGAAGTTTTGTTAACTCACCTTTGAACAGCACTTTTGACAGACAGTCTTTTTACAAAGTTTACATTTCTGGCCCCAAGGACCAAAAATTCCGAATCTGGTCTTCAAACACAAGAAACATACCTGAACAAGAAATAAAGAAATTATTAACAAATAAGTACTTTCATTATTTCGGAACGGAAAGAACGATAAATCAACTGGTATTGCGATTGACAAAATATTTATTATATCTTTTCTTACCTAAGTTTAACTTTATTGACCAAAAACATAACATTTGTTTACATCACGCCTTCTATCCCCGAAGAAATAGGCAGAGGTGCACATTACGGCCCTTAATGCCACTGTACAATTTAACACAAGATTTTCACTATTTATGTTATGAGTCCCATGTAATAGGGGACCTATTGTCATATACTGGGTACAATTCCAGACTCCGTGCAATTCCAGAGATTACAAAAATCTAGTACTTTGCACAACTTGAGAATCGAACCCGTGACCCCTACCCGGCAGTCCCACTTGCGACCACTCGGCCTACGAGGCAGTATTGATCAAAAAATCTCAATTAAATCTAATCAAAAATTCTACTTACTCTTCTCTTTTCAACGTCTTCCTTTACCCTGCCTTCAACGGGCAGTACTTCCAGTTCAGCCTTCGTCAGCACAGACCTGATGTGAACAATCTCTTCCAGGGTCAGAGACAACCGGTCGTCAGACATTATGGCATCTTGCCACTGTTTCTGTAAAACAAGCGACCAGTTTAAAATGACCCCCTCGGTCTTCAGAAGAATTATTTCTACAAAGTTTAGCTTATAATTGATGTTATTTTTGAACCTAAATTACTGTATAAACTACTTTATTTCCAATTCTAGCTGAAAAATTCGTGCATAGGTGTGCTATTTACAAACTCTGCTAACATATTAGTAAGTGCATGCTTGATGTGAGACGAAATAGCTCTAATAGAATCTACATCTTTGAAACTACGGATACTAAAGTGCCAAATACCACTAACTGCCAATAACCCCTCTTGATTGTTATTATTAAAAACGTTGCCCCACACTAGGATTTACTCCTGTGTCGTGGGTTCGTTTACAAACATACAAGTTCACATACACAATGACACCCAGGCCTGAAACAACAGTTTGTGGGGTTCAGTGTTGTTCCGGGAAAGCAGGAATCGAACCCGCGACACGTTGCACGGCAGCCGGTTGCCCAGCCACCGCACCAACCGTGTAGTCACCTCTTGTACTGTGTTTAAGAACTATAAAATGTATTTGTTTTAAATTACTAAATTGAACTATATACCTCTAGGTACCATGATAGATAAATCATAGTGCATGTAAAAACTAATCAATCTACGCTACAAAGAATAATATTGTCTGACAAATTGCATCACCCCAAAGAATTTGTTTATACCTTACAAACCCATTCAAATCCTTAAGGTTGAAATTAGTCCACCACCATCTACACTACGTTCTACTCACATGCGAGCCATTGTTGGGGCTGCCACTAACCGACTTGATAAGCTCGTCCTGCAAACTAGACCGTGACCAGGATAACTCCCCGAGCTGTGCGTCTGCGTCGCTGCTCGCCAGGGACGCTGCGCCGGCGCATGATGCACGAGATCCCGGCCTGTGAAAAAAAAATAAGTTGAAATTTAAGTTAATTTGAAAATTATCCCTTAAATTTGTTCATACAAAAGTAATTTCTAATCATGGGAAATAAGGTCTATAATATAGCTAGTGGAGAGCGGTCACCGGTGACCGCTTGGGGGATGTACGAGCCATAGGGACAACATATGAGCCACGCTAGCGAAAGGTTTGCCCTCATTAGTTTTCTGACATCAGTCTTCTTAAGTAACCTTAAAATTAATCAACATGATTTAAAAGTTTGCACAAATACAAATTGAAGTCAATAATGTCAATGGTTATTGAATTCTAAAAAATAATAGAGCTTTAAAACAACAATGTTATATTCGAAACCCAGAAACATTGTATCTTGACCTCTTGACCTGAAGTAGAAACTTTCTAGCACAGTGTTTTTTGTTTAAAATGCAACATGTATATCTTTTAACTTCATATTTTTAAATTTTTAAATTCTATATAAGGTCGTAATTTGAGTGAAGGTGTGAACGAAAATTTGTAGTCATTTTTTTATGTAATAGGAGGCAAACGAGCAGACGGATCAGCTGATGGTAAATGATCTGCGCCGCCCATGGACACCCGCAACACCAGAAGAGTCACAGGTGCGTTGCCGGCCTTTTAAAAAGGAATACGCTCTTTTCTTGAAGGTTTGGAGTTTGAAGGTAAGGTAAGGAAAAGGTTTGAAGGTCTTATCGGTTCGAAAATACCGCCGACGACAGATCATTCCACAGTCATATTGAATAAAAGTTTTTATAATACTTAAGGAACGGGACAAATAAAAATGATTCTGTTATAACTGACAGTTAATGGATGCCTTATTGAGATACCACCAGGAAAGTAAATATTGAAAAAAGCTCAACCCCTATAGGAAAACATTATTCTTAAAAATAAAAGACTGACAATAACAAAAAACTGCATATTAGTCTTGCCTAGCCAATAGCCAAGAAAATACTTAGATGGCTCATGTCTTAAATATTCATATTTAGTTTGGTAATAAACTCACCCTTAACAAGTACATAAGAATTCATTAATCATAACACAACTGCCGAAATGTCGGTGTTTTGTAAAACTATATTTATATTTATCACTTCAAGGAACAAAAACTTTGGTAACTACTGCTATGTAAAATAGATCATAATCATAAAGCCTCAAGGACCAAATTTCAAAAAGAAACGAAGTTAGAAAGTTTAGCAAAAAGAATAATAATATTTCAAAGACTAACCTTGAATGCGGCAATGAGTGAGCTCCATCGATGGTGGTAGGGCAGACGGTGTGCGTCACGGTATGACGTCGCATTGACGCTCGCCGTGATGGGCACTGCGTCGCCAGATCATATGCTGCGGATAAACAGAACAATGTAATTTGAACCTTAGCGACAGCAAAGATTGGACATTACTTCCTTGAAAGTTTTGAAGAAATTAGGGCTATTTTGCTGTATTACATGTTGTTTGTTAAAGTTCCGAAAATTAAGAACGAAAATAAAAATGAACTGTTAATTAAAATTCATTTATTGAATGTCTAAATCAAAGGTAAAATTGATATTATAATCATCATTGAATATTTAACAAGAGTAAATAAAAAACTGCTGACATTAATTAAAATAAATATTTACACCAATTTAAAATAACATCAATAAATAATAACAATAGTAAAAGTGGTTACAAAATTAGTTTCAAACGTGTAGAAAAACAAAATGGACAACCTGCCAAACAGTGAATTTAGTCGAGTTACGATGACGGAGTTACGTGATCTAGATCTATCAGTCCTAAATGAGACTAATTTTGTACAGTCAACATCGAATCACTAATGAGACAACTAACACTGATTACATTAACGTTAATGGCAACAATAAAACATATGTTTATGAGCTAATAAATCTGATAAACAAAAGGGCACTTAAACTTTAAAAAGACGAAAATGGGCGTCAGATAATCGCAGTATTCGATTAGTTATCGTCCGCTGAACCACTGAACTGAAAAGACAATGAAAAGTGATTTTGCGAAGCAAACGTATAAATTGCAAAGGAACTAAGCGTGGTTACGTTGACATGCGTTCAACATGCTGTCATACATTCGAGGGTCTGGTCGCAGAACTGGTGGTACTCGTCGTGGGAGATGCGCGTGCGCGGCGGCGCCCGTGGAGGCTCCTCTGCGTGACGTCACCAATTCATCAAATGAAAATCATTGCCAAGGTGTGCGTTTAGAAACGAGTGCTTGAGCCAATTTAAAACTCATTTAATGGTAATTTTGGGACTCAATTTGGCACACTGACAGTTCAAAAATGTTCATTATCTCTTTTAGGTTAGAATTGGATTTTGCTTACCGGTCCTCTTCCAAGGTTTGGGGGTTTGTTGCTGTGGGGCTGTGTGCCTTGGGAAAGGTTGTGGTGCGCATACTTCAGGGCTTGTGCAAGTTTCTGTGTCATCCTCATCTTCATCGTCCTGAAAAGAAAATGAGAGGTTAGACTCACAGTTGTAGATATGAAACAATGGGGGATTAAGTACAATACATTTTATGTAGGAGATACAGATTTAAGTACGGTATTGTGAGTACTATTTTTTATGTTTTTCTTTTAAATATTCTGCGTAAATGAACACGGATATTCGCTAGGCTTCAAACCATGAAACACAAACAAATAGATCGTCGACCGATCACAGATAACATAAAATGACACAGTTAAAGGTAAAAACAAAACAACACAAGTATAACATTTTGGCTTCCACTGACGCGTACACTAATTGGTTTCCAACTACCTACTTCTGAAGAAAACAAGATTTGTTACAAATCAACAAGATTATTTAAATTGAGTCAAGTAGGTAGCTACCTCATTAGGTAGTAAAGCAACGTAAGTTTATGCAAAATAAACAACTAAATTGTAAGTAAAACTAGTTTGATAATTTTAACTCGCGGCTTTTAAAACGTAGAAGTGTTTTCGCGAAACTTCTGTTTTTAAACAGAAATATTTCCTATTTAATTTATATTTCTATTCGTAAAGTCATCTACATTCACGGAGAACTTACCTAAACATGACAAAGAAAAGGAAATAAGTAGCTTCACTAGAGGACTGACCTACAGAGAGTCTGTAGTACAGACTGACATTTTTTTCTTATTATTTAATATTTAAATATTTTGATTTGACGTTCAAAAGTGCCTTTCTGGTCTAATTGAAATAAATTATTTTGACTTTGACTTTGAAATTTACAATTTTATAAACAAATATAGAAAACCATACGTTACGGAATAACAAACACTAGAATTGTCTAGACATCATTATTCAAGTTTCTAGCCTAGGCAATTTTCCACACAGAAATAATATCCAACAAACGAATAATGGAGTCAGAATTTTGACAAATAGGCAATGGAGGGTATATAACATGAATTGTTACAATTTCTGTACTGAACTATGAATACTTGATTACTGTAAGAAATCTATGAATAGTATTAACCCTCATTTGACCTTATAGAATATCTTATAAGCTTTTGTAGCAAATTCTCTTTCACTAGTGTATTTTGTTATTCAAGCACTTTGTTCAATAATACATCAGTTGTTTCTCCTGGGATGTGATTCTGAGGTTCAATATTTATAGCAATTTCTATTCATAACTAAAAAGTTCTATGGGGTTAATTTTGAACCCTAATTCAGTCCATATTCTACATAGATACATATGTAGACCAGTAGGGAATATATACAAGGCATACCTGTTACATTGGTCCTTATACTTAAAACAACTTAACTTTTTATTAAAACCAAACTTATCAAACAAGCCCACATGAAGGCTCACTATCTAACCTACTCAATTTTCGATAGAGTGATACCGATTATAATGCAAATTAACAGGCGATAATGAAACAAATTTGTTGATCTAGAGTAATTATGATACTTTTTCTCACAAACGGATGCATTTAGGTATCCCCTAACCAACCATACCCTGAGGCCTTCTTACTCTAATCAATGCGGAAGACGTTATGCCAACGGGATAAGGGTGGAAACGATGCCATTTATCGTCGACTTGATAACGGTGCGAATGACAGCTTAATGACATTCTGCCGCCCCCGGGCATCAAACAAGGACCGCCGGGATTTTTTTCATTAAGCTTATACTTTGGTGGAAGAAATAAGAGATTAATATGAGGTTAAAACTACATCCTTCAACGTCAATTTTGTAATTAACTATCACAAATAAATAAATCTGAGAATCTTTCTAAATATTATCTAGAAAATTGGAAAACTCAGTAGGCTTAAAGAACAATAGGTTGTGGTCACCGGTGTCCTCGCAGTGTTTGACAGTTTAAAAATGTGGCAAATATCTGATAGAAATTGATCAACAACGAAATCATATTACCCCATAAGACCATGGTCATCTATTTGATTACTAAACCGCAAAACATACCCAGCCTATTTTCGGGACAAATTCATAAAAAATCCACTGTCAGATTTTAGTAGGTACTAGTAAGTAGTACTACCCTTTTCCTAGAATTACTATCCCAGTCGACTTAGACCGATAACCAACATAGTTTATCTTGTAGCAGAAAAACACAACACATGAGAACAAGGTAATCCAAGCCGAGTATCAAATAGCGACATAATACGATACTAAACTTCTCACGTACTTTATGAACCTCGTGAACTGATTCTAGGTTCAGATAGAAGGGAAGTCACACAACAGTAGTTCATATTGTTCATACGATAACAGAATACCTTTCGTAGAAGAAAGTGAACAATGTCAGAGATCATGCACCAGTGCATCTGATCCGTTGTGTAACAAAAGTAACGTAACAGGTACAAAACCTGTTATTTTGTATCTTCACGTACTTTTATACTGAGAACTATATTTTACGGTAAGGGAAAGTTATTGAATGTCGGAACTTGGAACTGCATTGTGCTTGTATTGTAAACTTTATTGTACAGTTAGCAGAATTGTTATTGTAAGTGCAATGTACAGAAGTAATGAGTTCGTTGCTGTCTGATCTGATTAATGAAAAAAAGTTACTAACAAGCTGAAAGCTTTTCTGATGGAAGGTTCTATTGAATGATACAAATTCTTTTGATATATCGTGCTAAGAATAAAGAGAAAAAATGTAATATCTGTCACAAAGGTAAAGGGCGAAGGTAAGACAGGTGTCTCACTTCAAAAACAAAGGCTAACTTTGTAGTCATCTTTGAAAGGGACCCTTCATTTTCATAAATAATGTATCTACATAACTCAACCGCTCTATATTGCAGAGAAAAAACTCATTCCACAAGAATAACGATGTTAAAAATAACCCTACTCCCATTACAAAGAGGGTATCAGGTCTGTAAAGTAATCTTTGTTACCCTTGACATTTAAATTGACTAATGAAGGGTAAAATCAGATTGCATTTTTCTTTAAAAATAATTATGGTCAACTTGACTTGGTAAGAGGATCACGTTGTAGTTAAACTGGGTATTTTCCTATAGAACAGGGATGGTCTATTAGACCCGTCGTTCGTGGCATGGCAAAAAAATAAATAAATATATAGACCAGATTGCTCAACGTAATGCCCAACTACAACATCATCAGCAAGCGTCGCATGCATGAGGGTGCGGGAAACCTACCAACGGCAAGTACCAGTAGCCAATTTGAACTTATATTAATATATGTCATATGTTAAAATATGACATAAATTAACGGAGTGGTTTTTAGACACTTTCTGACTAAAAATCACCCTTCTCCTGCACGTCGAGCCGGAGCCCCGGTTACCCGTTAACTTCTCCGCGACATATGAGGTCCTATATAGCAGGGGTAGCCAACTTGATCAGACATAAGACCTACTTTTACTAACAAGTCTACAAGCTTTGATTAGATACTTTTAATAACAGTTTCACATAGGAGCGGCCTATTTCAACATACACTCCAACTAATATCCCTCAATCTAATTTGCGACCTCTAAACAAATGAATTAGACACATATTCACATATCACATAATATACTAGTACCAATATGATAGTCGAAACACGAAATACAGGCAATGCCTACTTCGACTACAGAAGCTAAAATCATATACCTATGAAAAAATTGTAGCCAAAATAAAAATTCAAATACTAAAAAGCCTCCTGTCCAGGTCCACTGTAATACCTCTACATATCTAAATCCAATTTCACAAAGACCCTAATGAATTGGGACGCTGCCAAAGTTCGTTGTATCAAACGCAGATTCCATTTAAAAAAGGGATCAGTGTAATAATAACTGTGGACATTCGCAAATAAGTTGAGCCATCCCATTTTATCCAAATCCCGGATCAAAACATAATTTTTCCATTTTTATATTTATATTATTGCTTTTCTTAGCTGATTATTGTGGTAGGACTTATGTCGGATATAATTTATGTTAATAGACTCTTATATAGACGCGAAACAATGTACACGGAAAAGGTTTACTTATTTTTCTTAGAAACTGACGTCATAGGTTTGTATATGGTAGGATCTCTGTTATTATCATTGAAAAGTTCACTGGACGATTGGTGCGGTGGCAAGATGCGGGCTTTTGATATAGCTAGCCTTAATTACCTTAATCTATCCCTGTTCCAAATTTGAATTCGATCCATTCAGCCTTTTACAGATTGAGTAACAAATATACGCACAAACTGACAAACTTTCTCATTGAAAACCTTTCCCTTAAAGCCTTTTCTTTTAATGCCTCGTTGGTCGAGTGGGAAAACTAGGCTAACTGGGCAACTGATTAACCCGCGAGGGTTATTAGTTGCGGGACGTGTCGCGGGTTCGATCCACAGATTGTTGTTCCGAGTCTGAGTGTCATGTGTATGTGAAATTGTATGTTTATAAACGCAGCTACGACACAGGAGAAAATACTAGTGTGGGGCAACTAAAACAAAACTTATGCTTTGTTGTACTTAACAGAATATAACAGGGTATTGCCCAAAAATGCACCCTACCCAACTTACATGCCATGACTTATTAACACTCATATTTTATTTTAATCTGTTATAGATCTGTCTACATTGTTGCCTACATTGAAACTTGTATTAGTAAGAAACCCGACTACTTATTTTATAAACTGTAAGTAATTAGTAAACTAAGTCACCAATCAAGCATAAAACATCTATCATTCAAAACTTATGACAAACTGATCTAAAATTCAAAAGCGACGTTAAGTCCATGAAAGCATATTTGTGAGCTATGCAAATAGTGGATTTAAAACCTTAACTTTAAGGTCGAAAGTCCTGTTGCTTACAGAACTGGGGCACGGAAGCCTTGCGAGACTAGTTTGCACAAGTGTACACGTTTTAAGGATAGGTACCTATGTAGTATAGTACAGTTAGATGGTAATTAACGCCAGCCAGTCGGATATATGTAAAAAACTTACTTATAGGTTATAAAACGTGAGGTTGCTTAGTCTATTTCGACATTATTGTGGGAATAGAGAGGCTTGGAAGATCAACTTGTTACAGACGATTGTGGTCATCTGAATCATAATGACTTGACATTTTTGTTGCTTTGTGGTTTCTATCTAGAATGATCTATGTCGAGACTTATCGTAAAATACTCTGTGTTGGCTTAATAGACAAGTGCAATAGGTTCTATTTCTGTAAAATTAGCCATAACTTCGATTATCATAGAAGGTGTCACTTAAACTTGTCCAGATAAAACAGCAGCGTGATTGGTTTACAAAAGTAAAGCTTTTATAAATCAAACATTCATATTTAAAGGGCGCTAAATAACCTTCGCATATATATGCAACTTAGGTACCTGTCTTTCTGTTAGTTATTTTGTTAAAAACGTTTCAAAAGTCAAAACCAATTACCTTCCCCTTCCCCAATCTCCCCAATCCCTGAATCCCCAACGATCCTCAAACTCCTAATCCCCAAAAAGCCGGTGACGCACTTGTAACGCCTCTGGTGTTCCAGGTGTCCTTGGGCGACGCCGATTGCTTACCATCAGGTGATCCGTCTGCTCGTTTACCGGCTTATGTCATAAAAAAAACTCATAATTCAATGAAGAAGAAACCACATAAAATTCCATTATTATTGCTCTTTTACGTATTTTCCATTGCGTGACTGAGTTGTGAGTACCTATACGCTTTTTATCATGCGCGTTAACACGTAAAGCTGTCGGCAGCGTAAGAACCGAAGTTGCAACAGCTTGCGTAAAGCGTAAAGTGCGCATTGTTCGAAGAGCATGTTATCAAGATCGAATGCAAGGAAAGGAACCTTTTTGTTTAGAATGCGAGTTACAATTCTTTTGTGGGTGCGGGTGTTAGCCTGCGGTTAGTATTGCAAAAAAAGTCTATACGAGTCCAAGGTTTATCTCCATGCCTACATTCATCAATATTGATCTAGCTGTTTAAACTATATTAACGCGAGAAAGCGTAACAAACAAACACGTAAAGTTTTAGCGTGGGTGTCACACTGAAGTATCTACCTACCTGCCGTATTTCAAGTTTCCATTTACATCTGCCGGGATCTAATTGAGCTTCGGTAACGCCCACAATCTAATTACACGAGAAAAAATGTAGGAGAGCAAAAATCCTGCTACATAAGATATTTAAATAAAAAGCCGACACGTTCTTATGGGTGCTATGGGATTTATAAACTCAATATATGGTTTCACCTGTGACCCAAATATACGACTTCAGCCTAAGTGGCCATTCGGAGCGTTTTATTGATTACATTCCTTTTGTTCCTTTGTTACAGCGTGCAAAGGTAAATGTATGAAGAATATGATTAACATTTTTAGAAAAAAATCTATTATTTTAGATTCCCTTATCTTCTATTACGTGTTATATATCGATATTGTTTAAACATTGCTCCACGCTAGGATTTTGTCCTACACTAACACACTAACAACAATACGTGGATCACACAAAGAGTTGTTCCGGGCGGGATTTGAACCCGTGCAGCAGACTACCCAGCCACCGCGCCAACTGTGCAGTCAATTACTTTGTATGTACGTACTAACAATTTAAATTCCCAACTAAATAAGGGATCTACATACATTTACCTGTGTAGGCACAAAATGAAAACATTATCTATTTACAATTTCATTATGCCTTCACAAACGTTTATGTTTGTTCTCATAATTAGTGAACACAATAATTAATTTGGATGCCGTCGAGTTTAGAGCGTTTGTTGTAACAATAGTGACTGTAATTCAAAGAGAGACAAAACTCATTTCACGCCTCAATGAATATCACCTCATATAATATACAACTGATACATACCTACATTAAAATATCTACAATAGTCTATTACGAGATACAGAACTAGCCATCTACCAAAGAAAAGGTTGGTAACGTTTCTGATTGTTTTTTTTTCCAAATTACGTGTCGTGTCACTGGCCAGAAAGAACCTTCAATTTTTTGCTCTAAAATAGTCCAGAATTCTTTTTTTAATTTTACGCTTATTATGGTCCTCGATGATTGCGGAGCTAGGACGTCTGATTCGTTTAAATTCGACTGTGAATAAAATAGAATTATTTAATTGAAGTGATACGTAATTGGCGTGAAATCGGTCCAATTTATCTGTCAATTCGGAAACGAATTGGGTCGGTTTAAGGTTTAAATTTTGAAGCAGATCTAGAAATAATTCTGAGTGAAGCCAAACCTGTGATGCTATTAATCTGAATAAGTTAAGAGCATTTATTTTGGTTGTAAATTTAACTTCATGAGATGGTGGATTGTTATCCATTATTAGACATTCTTGTCATGTTTGACAAGAATGTCTTACAATAGGACTTTGAGGAATTAACTTTTAACCTTATTAGTCACAAAAGTGTGGTATTAAATATAACCCAAAAAACTTAAGAAATGACATTTACTAAGATTATCTATACCTGCCTAAATATAATAAAATGGTATAAAAGTCAAAACTGTACAATGAATATTTTTTAAAAAGAATACTTAAGGCGTGATTTACAATATCGATATCGATATCGATACCGAAGCCAAAAATATGGTTATTAGAATTTTTGTATAGGTTACATTTTATTAGGCTATCATCTACGAGGAGGAGCTGTGAATCACAATTCCACGCGAACGAAGTCGCGGGCAACAGCTAGTGGTGCTTAAAGCTCTTAATTCATCAATTTGCAGCAGGAAAATGTTTCTTAACCTTCTATCTGCCCGCTGACCCGAGCCTAGGGTTGTTATAACATAATCTAGATATCAGGAATTATGTCATGTGGCATAGTGCCAAGAGAGCCAACAATATCGCGCTGTATTCCGAGGGTAGTTTGAGGAGACTCTTGTTCCCTTTACGATGCTGTTTTTTTTCTATGGAACAGCTCTTTAGACGCAGGGCTACGTACACTGCTTTGACTTATACTTGTAAAGGTCTGTGTTCATAAGGCAATTTATTAAAAACATTAGTGCTGCTTCATTGGCCGAGTGGTTGCAAGCGACTGCCGGGCAAGGGGTCTCGGGCTCGATTCCCGGGTCGGGCAATTACTTACTTTTTTACAATTACTGGGTTTTTCAAAAAAATTCCAAGCACGGAGTCTGGAATTGTGCCCGGTATATTATGGCAATAGGCTCACCCCCTATTACATGGGACTCATAAAATAAATAGTGAAAAGTGGGTGTTACATTGTATGTACAGTGCCATAATGTACACCTCTGCCTACCCCTTCGGGAAAAGGCGTGATGTTATGTTATTGGTGTTCTGATGGAATGAAATTACAGCCAGAATGTAACCTTTTCAAAAACTATTCTACTAATATCTCAATATGACGTTTTCTGAGGATGCAGCTCAAAAATACATGGATATGTTATGTATGAATATTTGTCATTCTTTCGCCCGAATACTGAAAGACTACTCAATTTTATCTCTGTCATTTTACAAAGAATCTGTAGTGACAGAACTATAAGTACTTAAGTGCGATTTATAATAGGGTAGTTTCCTAAATTTTATTTTAATGTCCGTCTGGTACATTCATTTAAAACATTAGACACGTATTTTTTTCTTTTCTGACAAAATTAAATACTTTCGACGGTATATTAATTTGAAATATCGCGTGACGTCACAGCGTGCCACTATTTGTAGCACGTTATGACGTAACAACCTCCCACTCCTAAACTTAGCGTCATTTTATCTAAGTACTGCAACAATACGAGAAAATGAAAAATACGTGTCTGATATTTTTTTATAATCTAACTGATGGACTAATTCGATTTTTAATTTTGATACCCTAGAACTGAACTGGAACTGAACCCAATTGGGTAACCTATCAGTATTTGGACGTTTAACATATAAAATTCCGCCAGATCCGACTGTACACATAACATTAACTATTCGCTTAGAACAGACATGTCATTATAGCGATAAAGTTTAAAATTACCTCAAGATTATCAAAGTCCACTTTGATAAGTCGCCTCTGGGGTTGCGCATGCGGCGTGACGTCACCGCCTCGCCTTGAGTCGCCCCCGCCTGGACCACTACCAGCTCCACTTGTCGCTGAAACAATGAAAATAAACGTTGTTATAACATAGCATAAGGTATTTTATTCCTTGATGAGTGGGTCCATACATTATATTATTAAGAATTTTAGAAAACTGAATATATCAGTAATATGTAAATAGACAATCGTAAAAGCAACCAATGGGTGCTCAGGAGTTACGCTCGTCCTCGAACAAGACGGCACATGATTAAATTACCTAAAAAGCTAATAATTGAAAAGATGAAAGGGTCCCTTAACACATGAATTAGTCTATTCGATTACCAAGCCTTCCTTCATCGAGTACCACTTACTAGACGTAAGGAACATCAATGTCTTTCGTTACACGTAATTTAACCCAATTTGGAAGAAGTATAGACTCTTAACTTAGAAGCAAGAAGGTAAAATACCTAGTTCATTATTTTGTTACCACGTACCTATAAGGAATGAGTCAAGGCACATATGTACACAGGAACATACTAATTTAATTTATACTAGCGACCCGCACAGATGCAATATGTATGTATTATATCTACATATAAACTTTCCTTAACAATTACTCTATCTATTAAAAGTAACTGCATCAAAATCGGTTGCGTAGTTTTTAAGATTTAAGCATATATAGGGATAGACAGACGGCGGATAGCGACTTTGTTTTATGCTATGTAGTGATACTATGTAGTGATATACATATAAAAATGAATCCCTTTTCCCTTGGTCACCACACGTGAATGGCTGGACCGATTTCACTAATTCTTTTTTTTTTGTATTTGTTATTATTAGGATAAAGTTCTTAACTCGTCGAGTACCGGTTTTGTAGACACAATTATAGAACAATAGGTTGCGGTCACCGGTGACCGCTTGGTGTTTGACAGTTTAAGACAGAAAAACCCTAATAATCCTACGGGAACGAGAGAAACTGGGATTGCGCGTACGAAGTCGCAGGCAGAAGCTAGTATAATTATACTGATGCTTATGTGAACAAATCGAGGGCAGGTCAACTAGTCTCAAGTCAAACCGGGACACATACCTATTCTCCATGAGTTCACGTAAGTTGCAATTAATTGTAAATTTCCTTACTAACACATTATCCCCTACCAACATCTTACTCCTATATAAATATTCAATTTGACAATCTCAAAAATAAATAAATAGCTATCCAAGGGTAGAATTCTTAGCAGCTATGGAAGCGTAGGATAACTTTCATATCGAGGTAATCCTGGCGGCTCTAAACGTAATTTCGAAAGCTTAGGGATGAAAAGGACATATAAAAATGGCGCCTGACAGCTTAATAGATACCTAGGTTTGTTGCGTATATGTAGGGATTGATAGAAAACGTGTTGCTATCTCGGTTTGTAAGGGATGTTATATTTGCATGGGTAGTGAAATGGGAATAAAATGAATGTGGATAGGTATCATTTGTGAAAAATTAGAAGATTCGAAGTGTATCTGGATTGGAGTCTATCACATTAATTAATATACTGGTAAAGTGCTACTGGTATATTTATATGATGACATAACATCACGCCTTTTATCCCCGAAGGGGTAGGCAGAGGTGCACATTACGGCACTCAATGCCACTGTACAATGTAACACCCACTTTTCACTATTTATGTTATGAGTCCCATGTAATAGGGGGTGAGCCTATCGCCATACACCGGGCACAATACCAGTCTCCGTGCAACTACTGAGAATGTTTTAAAATACCTAATAGTACTTTGCCCAACCAGGAAATCAAACCCGAGATCCCTCGCCCGGCAGTCGCACTTGTGACCACTAGGCCAACGAGGCAGTCATGGTATATACATTTCGTCTAATATTGGCTCTTGGTAAAATCTAAACAACATCATAAAAGTCAACATCATCTTTAAATAACTTAACGTACAACACAACTTACACATACAAGATATTTATTTACATAGCGAATGGATTAAACAAATTCGATACGAAATATCCGTAAACACGCTTCGCTACACCTACCACAACAAATCTTACGATAATTTGTTTAATCAACCCGCAAACGCGCGCGTTTACGTAACATAACCCAGTTAAATAACGACCCTTTATTGGCGAAACGAAAAAAATGTTTATAAACGTAAAGCGACTGTGAAATATGGCAACACAGGTTTATGGTTCAAGGTCGGATTTAAGTAACTCAATTAAAATGTAAATAATGTTCTTGAATTAATTTTAGGTGACAAGAATAGGAAGTGTTTCATTATGTTGCGAAGTATAACATATAGACGATTCTAGATTCATAAATTAAGCAAATGGTTGCTTTTCATAAAACACATAGATCTACTTACATCTGTCATACTAACATAATAACGCTGATTTTTTTTTAAGTGGGGGAAGTCGTCTAATGACTTCTCCCGCGTGGGTGAGGCGGGAGGGAGTGTCAGACTCTTACTGACTAAAAACCACCTCGTTCCTACTCCTGCACTTCGAGCCGGAGCCCCGTTAGGTTCTCCGTGGCTCTGTATCGGCGTCAGCCCTATTGGGCCCTATCCGTGGCGGTCTGATGGCTCCTTGAGGCGCGCGCGGAACGCGACGACGCGCCTTAAGCTCGGGTAATAATGCTGAATAGTTTGTTTGGACGCGGTAATCTCCGCAACTACTGTTTCGAATTGAATACATAGTTTATTTTTGGGTTAGATAGTCTATTTATTGATGAAGACTGTAAACATCACACTACGATCTACAATAGAAGAAAATTTCAACAAATCGACGGTTAAGTGAAGATAGAACATGACCTGCATGAAGCCGGAACTGGGGTAGGCTGGTATTAAGTAGTATAAGTATAAGTATACCCAACACGCGGTCTATACGACCCGTTCGTGTTTAAGGGTTGTGTAACCGTCACAGCTGCGATTTATTTCTGCGTGTTACACCGAATAAAAAGCCAGCCGTGAGAATGTTGAACATTCACCACCACTGCCACGGGTCATAACACCTTTATTATTATGGTATTAGGGACTATTTTTGCAAAAAAGTAGCGAGTGATATTCTGTATACTGTTAGTTGTGATTGTTGCAGGCAACTTAGTTCATGCTAGAGAAGGGAGGTGTTTATAATTCACGGTATGTAGAGCCATGTACAAACATGAACGTACAAATATAAGATGAAATGCATGGATCCTATACCGAGAACTGGGGAAATAAGTCGTAGTACATGTAGTTGTTTATTTTAACCCGTGGTATGTCGGAACGTAGATCTAAATGAGACACAATGTCCTCAAGAGGTTAAGCATGTTGTTGTACTATTGACTTAATTGAAAAAAAATAAAAGTTTTGATATTTCTATCCGAGAAGCAATCTTTCGTTTAAATTCTCAAAGAAAATTTCTAATTGAAACGAATTACATAGACTAGATCTGAAGATTGGAAATGACTAATGTCATCATTAATCTTGATACCTATCCATTAGAAATTGACGTCTTTGTAAACACTATTACCTTCCCATCTCAATCAAGTACGCAACATTAGCACACCTCGAACTAAATGAATTGTCGTAATCACTTCTCATGAGGAGCGAACTTCATATAATTCACTATAATGTTATGTTAGGTTAATTTACGAGAACTTTTTTATGAAAAATGTATTAAACAGAATTCAAAAAATTCATTTCCTAAGTAACTCTGTCGAGGAGAACCTAACGGGTTACAGGGGCTTCGGCTCGACGTGCAGGAGAAGGAACGGGGTGGTTTTTAGTCAGTAAGAGTCTGACACTCCCTCCCACCTAACCCAGGCGGGAGCAGTCATTCGATTATTTTTCCCTCTTAAAAAAAAGTAACTCTAATTTAACTAAAAGATAACTATTTCTTTGATAGCATTGTTAACCACATTTTTTTCGCATTAACTTTAAAAATAAATGGACGTCGTATTGCACTGCAATACGGCCTTACTGCAACTTCAAATTAACGGAAAACAAAATGGCGGAAGCATTTTGATTGGTAGACTCTGCAGTGGGTATTTTGTGGCAATTTATTGGTAAGTAAATAAAGGTATTTAACAAATGGCCGGTTGCGGAAATATCGGAAGTTAATATTGCATTGCATACAGAATATTATTACCTATCGTTCAGCACTTTGATGAATCTACTGCATTGAAATAACATAACATACCACGCCTTTCATCTTCGAAGAGGTAGATAGAGGTGCACATTATGCCACTGTACAATGTAACACCCACTTTTCACTATTTATATTATGAGTCCCATGTAATAGAGGGTGAGCCTATTGCTATATACCGGGCACAATTCCAGACTCCGTGCTACTACTGAGAATTTTTTTTTTATTCTCAAGAATTCCCAATACTCAAACAAATGTCCTCAAATTAAATCTCAACAGCATGCAATTTGTACGTGAAACATTCTTTAATATCACTCAGAAACTTCACTTAACAACGTAACTAGTAATAAAAATAAAAACAAAGAGTTAAAAATAGATAGTTTCGCCCCACTGCGCGTCTAACGACGTGTAGGATTGGTTTATTTGTACGACTGTGCTACGTAATTACTGCTTGATGTACGTACGAATTGTAATTCACTTTCACCGTAGTGCATATGAACTGTTATGGTTCGAATATGGCCCATAAAGGATAAATATCGCACAGGTACCTATTTTATACAGAAAAATGAGTTTTATACTTTTCGTCTTATATAGAGTAAAACTTAGGAAATTAACTGAGGTAGCTTCACTAGGCAACAATCTAGATTTTCAATTTTCATTATGAACTTGCAATAGGTACAAAAGGTTTTGTTCATATAAACAGAAATGAAATAATAGGATTTTCTCAATTGTTTTTCTATCGATATTACGATTTCAATGAAATCGATGTAGTAATAAAGTATCTATCACGAAGTGGAGCGATAAGAACAATTAAATAGATATACGGTTTTTCCACGCACTATGCCGATAAAAATATTAATTAACCATTATGCTTCTATAGTTAAAATAAATATATGGTTGAGTGATAAATTTGAGGGCAAAATAACGGCAAACATTTATTGATGGCAACTTA